GTCTCAGTGGAGACTGGAAACTGCCAGGGGAACTTCTCACCCCTTTCACTGTTTTTCTGCAAAGAGCAACTAAAAATCTGCAGTGCTTCTCTGTAACCTGTCTTCTGCTACTCATTTATTATTACTACTTGACTGTGCTTGAGTTGGTGTCTTGGCATTTTTCCATCCATCCGTAACTGTGCATTCTTCTTCAGTTATTCATACAACAGTTGCTCTAACGCCAGTTAGATGTAGTCCAGTCGAGAACCACTGAGCAGCAAAGACTACAGCAATCACACCAGGAAGACTGCCACCCCCCAAGCCTCACCATAGCCCTTTCATCCACTCTAATCAATGCACTACGCCATGCTGAGTACAGCTGAGTTACCTAAAGCCATAGATGTCTTCCTTAGCAAGCCCCTGTCTCATATCCATGCAGCAAATGCATAGCAATACTGCTTTACAGACTTCCCACTTTGTTCAAAATTTAGTATCTTTTTCAATTCCCAAGAGACTGTAAGCCAAAATGACACCAACTCTGATAACACAATTAATCAGGTCTTTCTCCAGAAACATCCATGCCCAATGGCTTTCAATCACACATACACACCGTCAGCTGGTCCATACTTAGCTTACTCAGTGCAGCTTGATGCATAAAATACCTACTGGTCTCATAGTCTTTAAGATACCCACCCACATTATATGCTAGATGGCAAGAACTGCTATTACTCCTACTCAACGGACAAGCAGCCAAAATAAAATAAGAACAACTACTTGCAAAGATACTCAAGGCCTCTACCTTCCCCTGATTTTATTATAAGGTGCTCTTCAACATACTACTAGGTAAAAATCTGTGGTAATAAACAGTAGTTTATGCAGAATTAGAAGATGGGCACCCAGCCCACATTTGTGTTCCTGATCTCTGCAGACCTACGCTCTTCTCAAACACGCAGGGCAGTACTGTAAGCACACACCACATACGTCCCCTCTAACTCAGTATGTCAAACTCAGACAAATTCAAAGCAAAAAGAACCATGTCACACACGTTTTGGGATCTGGTGCCTACATAAAAAGAGAAATGGTCACAACTGCAGCTTGCCTGTCAAGTCAGAACAGCTGAAATGAGAAATGAGATCCGTAGGCACTAAAGCAAGGTGTTAGGTCAGACTTTAGATGCAGCACCACAAAGTTCTGCTTCATTCATGAATACCCTCAATTTTTCCTTTTCACACACATTTTGCAGACGGAGTGAAAACTCTTCTGACCTTTGAAACAAGCCATGCACATTTTCTTAAGGTTTCTCCGGTCTTTTTTTCCACTTGCTATATTAGACTGCACCTTTTTTTCTCCATGTAGCTGTACTTTGCTACTTAGCATCACGTATCTCTCCTAGAAAAATGTGCCCACAGTTAAATTTGACAAATGTATGTTTGAAAATGGCACAGCCAGTTGCAGTAGAATTATAGTTTTATAAAGATATTTGTTGGGAATTGCACACCCAAAATTATATTTAACAGCTACTTAAATAAGCCCCTAAGTTTTCCTGAACAACTTAAAACAGTGAAGGGCAAAAAAAAGTTTGATGCGATGGTGAACTGTAGTATTCTACACAAGAATACAGTACTGAAAACCAATCACAAGGGTGTTCTGGTCTTTGTCCCCTTCCAAAACGTCGGTTTACCAAACAATATTAACTCCCAGCACATGAACATATACAGAAGAAACATGACCAAGTCACATTATAATAATAATCCTTCCTACTGTGTATTCAAATAGTAAGTTACCGCATTATTTCACAAGCACAATTTTTCTGCTCAAAAACTCAAGACACCACAACAAAATATTTCTTGGAGAGACTTCTCCAGGCGAATACATTTCAGAAGCAGAATACGTGCAGGTATTTTGTTTTTAATTCCCATAAGGAACTAGTACTTGTTACAATCACTCTGCAAGCCAACCAGTATTCTTCCTAACTGGACTTCTTTTACAGCGGGCCAGAGCTTCATCCACGTGCTTTAAGGACTTGCGTTCAGAAAGTCTGCTGCAGAGGGCAGCTCCTTTGGTAATTTGTTTTCCCCAACAGCATACACCAGGAGCGTTAGGCTCTGGCCACGGAAAAGTGCCAGAGAGGCATTTACCACACTGCCCACACATAGCCCTAGACAGGGGCAGCAGTACCTTTCCAGACTAACACTTTCTAACCGAATGACTTCACATCCGAGAAGCCTATAGCAAAAGCCTAATTTAGTTAAAGCCACTGATTTAACTTGGCTGTTTTCAGGCTCCTTAGCTTTTCTGAAAACCATGACCATACTCTGTCTCAGTCACTCCTTTCACATTTCAAAATTCATTTGCTCTTTGTTTCTACAGTCCTCATTTAATGACAGCAGGAGTATTTAGTGATAGCAAATTAGTACCAAGATTTAAGAACATCAGTCTCTAGGAAAATATGCAGCTGCCAGTATCTGAGATAATAAAAGGTATTACTATAATGCACTAAGGTCTACCTAAAGCATCTGGATCTAAGTTCTAGGTCTTTCCTTTTGTGTCTTTTAACAGCTATTTTGCACCAAAAGAAACTTTCACATCCAGTTCCCTGAATATACTAAAAAGAGGGGCGATAAGTAATCATTTGCACACACACCTAAGAGAAAGTTAGAAAGCTCGTTTATTTGAAACTGTGAAGCCAAAGTCCAATAAATAAAACGCTTAACATCACCACTGGACACTACGTAGGAAAACTCTGGTAAGACTGGACTGCTCTCTTTGGTGCCCCAACCATGGATGAACCCTGAAATGACTTCCCAGCTCCCCACTCCGGGCCACGCTCTCATCTCAAGAACAATCTTTTAACCATTGATGGCAAGCCTTCCCCAGATGCACGCTGCCGAATTCCTCCCTGCTGCAGTTTTACCGATACCAGCAGAACTACCCAAAGATGACAGGGCTCACAGCATCAACGTTTTAAGAGTGAAAATGAGCGCCTAGATTTCAGAACTTCTATAGAGCATCCCTCTGTCTCACTCAGAGCCCTTCAAACCGGTTCATGAAATGTGCGATGCCCAAATATCACTTTTTTTATTTTTAACGAGCTATTATTAGCCTATAAGAACACACTGCTTCTTACTCACTGTCACTCTTTGGGGTGGGGCGTGCGGACGATCCCATAAATGGTGCTCACATTTGTTCAACACTGCTATTAAATGACTAGGTTTTTCCAAATAGCAGATTTTCTCAGTTTAAGTTAACTGTATGTTACATATACATTAAAATTCTTTGAAGTTATCAATACGAAAATATCAAGATTGTATCCAAAATAGAATTTCAAACAGCTTACAGAACCTCAGGTGGACAGTCACCAAATTCTGCTAAAAATGTCATGCTCTTTTAGAAACAGCACAAAAAACAATTCTATATCTGCTTTAAAAACTATTGCACAGGCCAAAAGTATGCTTAGTACTTCAATAGAAATAAGCTTGGGCATAACACGCCTTACTTGTAACACTAGCACGAGTGAACTGGCAGAAGAGCCTGCTCTTTTTTTTGGGAAAGAAGGGTGGGGAGACTGGGATGAAGAGGAGGAAGAAAAAATAATGCCTATTTTAGGTTATTTATTATATAACTGGCTATTAATGAATATTGGAGGCACTGTTTGACAAGCCAGATGAAACCAAGCGTATCCAGAAAGGACAGAACTAAACAAGGCCGCAATGTAGCCACCAGTACTATGGTTTGTTCTTCAACTCAAGTGAACCTTCCCAACAGCTTTTCTGTAATCTGTAATAGGGATGTAATAGGGATGTTCATATTGGACAAGACAGTCTATTTGGGTCTTACGCTATTCTTATGCTCTCTAAAGGATACTAAAAAACAATCACTACGTGAGTATCATTGGTTCAGGCACTCAACAGTTTAAAGTCTTGATGCTACCAATTAATCCAGTTTCAGTTTGTACAATTTCTGACTCAAAGGAATTCAAACCATGTATCTAATTTGCTGGGGAGGAGGCACTGCTCAGTTACTACCTCATGCAACAGCAATTTAAAATAAAAATCAGGTTTTTCACCAAACTTTGGTGGTATTTGCATAGGGCTTCTACAGATAAGTGATGTGCACAGAAGTCATATACTCCACGTCTCAAAGCAATCTGACACTCTCCAAAGCAGTTTTGCTTTTTGAAAAAGAAAAGAAACCAAATGCTGCTATCAAGCTTTGAACAACAGGTATTTAAACAACCAGGCTTCAATACCAACAAGAAGAGTAAATGCTTCCGGTTAGCAAGATCTATTTAACAGATAACACCACAACCATTTCAAGTCAGTTAATTATAACACTTCAGTAGGCACCCCCAAGCCCCTCAACCCCACCATGTTAATACTCCTTGGATACTACAAGTCATCGGACTTAACTGGCACAGGTATTTTGACTGAGGAAAAAAAAAGATTGCCACGTATTTTATTGCTACCGGTGCACTGGGAATTTGAAGGGGCAATGGATGTGAAGGCTGCAATCACTTCTTCAGTAAATAAAACACAAATAGGTTAAAAAAATTAGGAGGACTTAAAACCACGCATAATCAAATAGATGTTTTTCACGTAGTTTACCTCAGTATTTTAACCAACATTATACATTTTATTGTTTAGAAAAGATGACGACATCGCAGAAAAATAAAATAAAATTTGTTTTGAACAGGACAAATGTTTTACATGGTGGTATAAAAAGTGTAATGGGAGCCTGGAGGGGAAGAAAGGAAACGGGAACAAAAAAAACCCCAAAACCCACTACTCCAGAAAAAGTAAAAAGCTAAAACAAATTCCAGATGTGTAAGTCTGAAGGTTTTAGCTTTTTCAAATACACAACTACGTGTGCCTTTCACAATAACAGTCACAACTGAACGAGACTTTTTGTACTACTGAACCCTTCAACAGGCCAGTCTGCAAGTTAAAACAAATAATACAATAAACTGCTAAATCGGTAAGTATGCAATTATGGATTGCTTTTAGCTGTTATAAAAAGCTTGTTTACATATCTAATGGTTCATCTTTTATATTCAAACTGTGCTTAATATTTTTTAGTTCAGACATACTGAAGCCCAGCAGCACAGATGGTTTGTGATTATTTATCGCCTTTAAGCATATATTCCTCCTTTTTCCAAAGAATGATGCAACATCAATTTTCCACGCATATAGCAGCGAGGAAAGTAATTCCATCTCTTTTTTAGAAGGATATGGCCTCTCATGAAAGTAGTCTGTCAAAAACTGTTTTTGAGCCTCATACGAATTGTGATCATACTGTCTAGGATCTACTGCCAGAATGCGAAGATCCTCACTAGAAGGAAGCTTCTTCATCTCAGTCCTAGTATTAATCTTTTGTCGCTTGAAAGGCACTACCCCTGACTTCACTTCTTTTTCTGGAGATAGAGCGATGCCAGTACTTAAGCTCAGAGGCTGCTGTTCCTTATTCCTTTGGTCTTCTGCAACAAAGCAGGAATCCGATTGCTTTCTTTTCAGTAGCGCAGAATCATGCTTTTCACCATTCATAAACAGCAGCTCTTTCTTCTCAGAACGCTCAAGCTGCATCTTCACACTTGAGTTGCTGTCTTTGGGAGCACTTCTACAACGGAGCAAATGTACAGCGATAGCTGTTAGAGTCATATTTCCAGTGTACACACCGCAACAGTGGATGCACTTGAAAGCAGGAGACTTCAAAATTGTATGTACAGTTGGCATTATATGATGCCGCTCTTTCAAATGCATTTCATAGGTTTCTTTACTAACAAACGTACCAAAGCAAAAGGGACAGGTTAACACTTTTTTGTTGCATCTACTGTTCACTTCTGCTGTCTGAGGTTTCACTTTGATGTAAACAGGGACAAGTGTCCTTGAATTTAGTCCAGCAAGCACTGCCAAATGTACTTCTCTTTCTCCAATGTCTTCTTTTGGTAACACTGTACTGAAATCAAAGTGTGGAAATACAAGGTCACCCTGAGCATCATTACCTAGCTGAAATCCTCTGTTGCTATAATCTGCATGTAACTGCTTTTTCCCATTGTGTGTAGCTTTATTGTGTTCCACGAGGCTTTTTAAGTCATGGAAAGTAACTGTGCAAAACAAGCAAGCTAAGCCATGCATCAAGAGATGTTTCATGAGCTCTTCTTCACAGAGAAAACATTTACAAGAGAAACATCGGACTGTCTTTTCTGTCATCCACCTTAGAAAGGGTGCGCAAGCTGCAAGTTTGTCAGGTTGTGGGGTTTCCTCCATTTTTACTTCACCGTGTTTGTGGGCCACCTCCATGTGCACCTGGTAGACATTTGATGGGAAAAGCTCATTGCAAACAGGGCAAGTCTTCCACTGCTTAGCCTGTCTGATAGCGTGACTTGTTTCAGGGCCAGGCGGGGAGGCTTGCAACGATAGATTCTGAGACATTAAAACTACTGGAGGAGAGGGCGCACCAGCCGGAGACTGGGACAACTGAGTTACTGTCCCAGACTGCATTAGTTGGTTGGGCACTTGTGGTGGTGTAACAGTTGCTACTCCACCACCAGGAGGTACAGGCAAAGTAACTGAAACTGGGGCAAGCGTGTACGTAGGTATCCCATTAACCTGCTTACCAGTTGGAATCAACTGCCTAAGTATAGAACCTGCAGTCAAAAAAGTTGTGTTTTGAGAAACTGCAGGTTGAACTGGCTGATTTAGTAGGATAACCGCTGGGGCAACAGGTTGATTAAGCTGAAGAAACCCAGGTCTGACAGGCTGTCTGACAGGAACGACCCCAGAGGCAACAGGCTGCAGAACCCCCGATGCAACCGTCTGTGCCACAGGAAGGACCCTGGGACCAATGGGTCTATTCACATTCCCAAGCGACTGGTTGATGGAGAGAACTCCTGGTGCAACCGGTTGATTCACAGGGAGGACTCCTGGTGCAACCGGTCCATTTACAGGGCTGACGGGTTGAGTAACAGGTAGCGTTCCAGCTGCAACCGGACCATTTATAGTACCAATGGGTTGATTAATAGGAAAGAGCCCAGGCCTGACTGCGGGGGCCACAGTTCTATTTACGGTCCCAACAGAATGATTAAGAGGAATAGCTCCGGCCCTCACAGGCTGATTAAGGGGGAGCCTATGGGAAACAATGATAGGCTGTGAAGGTGATGGCTGAATATTGACGTTATTCTGACCTACAGGAAGATTACTAGATACAAGAGTAACGTGCGACGGGGTAACAACTGGAGCAGAAGTTGTATGTGGAAGGCTACCAGAGGCACTTGGAACAGGCAGTGGTCTGACTGTGTTTTGAACTGCTTTTGGCTGCACCACACTCTGGTTTTGATTATTCTGTGGAAACGCAAGCTGGATGCAGGCCGGAGCTGTGACAGAACCTGCGGGGGCAGTGGCAGGCCCTGCAGATGGAGCAGGCACTGCCACACCTTGGGGAGGCTTTGGAGCAATATACATTTGTTTCACCAGTCCTGGTTTCTTAATATGTTCTGAAATCACAGACCGAAGTTTGTTCTCCAGGTCTCGGTGTGTTTCAGCTGTCAAAACATGATACATTAAAGAATCTTGGCTGTTTGCAGAAGCATTACATTTTTTACAGTAGTGCTCAATAGAATTCTCTTTACTTTCATCAGGTTTCTGGCCAAAATATGTACTTATTAAGTTTTGAAAATGGTTCATCAGCACATGTTTCTTCATATTGTAATACAACGTGTCTGTAAAGTGACATTTTAGACATGTAAAGTTTATGATGTCACTCCTGAATTGTTTCATGCCATCCAAAATGCTGACTGTATAGTTCTGTATTCTTTTATTAGATGAATGAAACATCCGGATATGTTTTCCCACTATTTTGGGATCAGAAGCAAATGCACATTTTGGGCAAGGAACCACCAGCTCTTGGTCCATTTCATCCTCATGGTAACGGTGCAAGTGATTCTTGAATGAAGTAAGCAATTTTGACGAGAACTTGCATAAGCTACAGCAGTACGGCTTTGTTCTGTATCTCTGCAAACAAAACAAAAACATCCACTTAGAAACTGCCAGTTTCTAAATCCCTGCTATCTATTTGAAAGTAAGTCTGCACTATCACCTGTCAAAAATGCCTTCATTGGATGTATAGCATGTGTCTTCTCAGTTTCGTGGAGATCTGTTTTTGAAAAGCAGACTTAAAGATGACATACTTAAAGGGAGAAACATTTGTGCCTTTTTTGCTTCTTTATAATTTATTAAGAAGCCTTAAGTGAGTTCACTTCTACTCCAGTTCACAAGTAGTAATTCTGAAGCCCCTTTTTAAAGATGGGTATCACAGAACAAGGTAAGAAGAATTTGTACACCACTGTACATAGGAGGTGAAGCCTTAGCAATTAGGAACAGCAGCCCTTTTAATATGACACTTTTAAAGCTTTACGTAGTTCAGGGCCACCTCCTACGTACTGGAGAAAAAGAGAGAAGAGACAAGGGGTGGGGACTTTTTTGTGTATTTCAATAGCCTACACTTCACTGAAAGCTCTCCAAAAGCACCTCTCCCAGCAAAGCCACAAAAGACTAATTTTTTAAAGAACATTCTTTTGGAGCCAGATTAATAATAGAAAGAGAAAGAAATAAAACCCCCTCATATGATAAAGCAGCAATGACCTATCTGTATTATCTCAACATACTGGACAACCCATCACAGTAATTTCTTTAAGAAACTTCCTCTAGCACACTCATTATAGAGCATATAGATTCTTCTCAGAAAAATATTTTAGCTGTATAAAAATAAATCTGTCTTTCACTAATCAATGGCTTGTTCCCTCAATTACATGTCACTTGACAGCATTACTTTTTGTATCCATATGAACATTATTTGCTTTTTTGAAAAAAATGGTAGCCCTGTCAACCGTTTTTTCTTATCAGCTTCCTAGGAAGCTAACCCTGGCTCCTGAAAAAACTACAGAAACAGTCACAGCAACATCCAGGTGACAAATCTGCACTCTCAAACATCTCGTGGAACTTGTCTGTTCCCTCAGATGTATTTTTCACCCTACTGACTTCTGCCCCTTAAGAAACACCATCCAAAGGGAACAAGCTGTTCCACCACTACAGCATCCAGCCTAGCTAGATCACACACATACATGTCACAGACACATTATAAAGAACTGCAGCAAAAATTTGTGCATTTTTTTTTGTCATTTCATATAGCCATGAAGGTGTCATCTATTAGCAGTACTAGAAGAGTCTCCTCATAACCAAAATCTAACCTCCAAATTCAAAAGATTGGGTCAGATAAAGCCACTGGCTGGCTAAGGCTGCTGAAGAGTACACTGTGAAGGTATCAGTGAATCATCCTCTACTTACACTCTTCAGGTGTCTGGTCTCAGCTGGTATTTAACAGCACCACAGCAAATTAGAAGAAGCTTCAATATTAAAGTATACTGAGTAGAGAAAGGCCGCTGACACTACTGAACTAATGAAGCATACAGAGCATTACTAGAAGCTGCACCTCACTAGCCTTACTTCTTCAGAAGTCAGGTAACAAAGAGAGGTGACTGCTTATTTTAATTGGTTGTCTGAGGCTAGAAAAGCTTATATGCTTTTAAATACTGGGCCCATACACTCTTTAGTTCCTCCCCACCCCATTTCTGGTTTGCCTCTTTCTGTCCCCATAAACTTACACCATAGTGTAATACACTGTCGATATTTCCTTGCTGCCAAGTCCAAACAATTATTGTTAGGTGCATGAGAACACTCTACAAGTAAGTGGTCCAAGTGCTGAATTAATTTACTATTTCATAGTAATGATGTTTTTACTTCTTATAGAAACAAGCATTGCAGTATACCACTAAGAAACTGCCCCAGTACCTGCATATTGGTAAGTCTAGGGAAAATAATGTTCCATGGTTCTATCAAATTAGGATGAATCCTAAAGTCCCATTACTTAGCTAAAAAAAAAAAAAAAAAAAACCCACCAAAAAAAAAAAAAACCCCCAAATAATTTTTTTGAAACTGAAA